CGCTACTCGCCACTGGGGGCGATTACACGGGAAGATACAGGCTCTACACGGAGGCTATAGAATTTATCGAACGTGTTAGGTGTCGCCCAGCCCACAGCTCTACATATATCTGTCAGTGAGGTGCCTTGAGCCAGCGCCCAGGAGGAAGCAACACTTCTAGTTGAGTGTGCTCGCAACCCAAACGGGCAATGCACGCCTTGGGCTTAGTAAGCCAAGGCGATGGCATCCACTATCCAGTGGGCCATCCTCTGCTTGGAGACAGCCTTTCCCTTCTGCTGGCCTCCGTAACAGACGAAGAGCTGATCTGAGGTCCTGAAGCTTTGCGTTCTGTCCACGTAAAATCGCAAACAGCGGACGGGACAGAGAAAAGCCAGGGCTGGGTCTGCCTCCTCCGAAGGCAGCGCTTGCAGGTTCACTACCTGGTCCCTAAAGGGAGTGGTAGGAACCTTGGGCATATATCCAAGCCAGGGTCTCAAGACAATGTGAGAGTTAGCCGGCCCGAATTCTAGGCACGATTCGTCGACCGAAAATGCTGTCAGGTCCCCTACCCTTTTGATGGAAGCCAGAGCAGTCAGGAGCACTGTCTTTAGTGACAGGATCTTTAACTCAGCTGACTGCAGTGGTTCAAAGGGAGGTCTCTGCAGTGCGCTGAGCACCAGAGACAGGTCCCAAGAGGGTATAGAGGGGGGGGGAACCTGACGATCAGGTCATGCTTTCCCAACGACTTACCTTCAACTGCATCATGATGTGCGGCGATAGCGGCAACATACACTTTGAGGTATACGACTCTGATCGGACATCATCGGGGGTCTTCCAGTTGGGAAGAACACCATTCAACAAACAGGTTCCACTTCAGAGCATAGAGGCGCCTCGTTGAGGAGGCTCTAGCAGAAGTGATGGTGTCTACCACCGCTTGGGGTAGGTCACCTAGAACCTCCGCGTCCCATCCAGGGACCAGACATGGAGTTTCCAGAGGTCTGGACGCGGGTGCCATAGAGTGCCCCATCTCTGAGAAAGTAGGTCCTTTCTCAGAGGAATGGACCAATGAGGTGCTGTCGCGAGGAGCACGAGTTCTGGAAACCAGGTCCGGTTGGGCCAGTACAGCGCAACTAACAAAACCTGCTCCTCGTCCTCCCTGACTTTGTGAGAGGGCTCACTGGGGGAAACGTATACTTGCGCAGTGGGCCAGTGTTGTCCGTACGGACCAGTATGTGCTTGACCTGTAGCGGCCCTTTGAGGCGCCCAGCGCAAGGCGTACTGTGAGCAACTCGAGGCAATTGATGTGCCAATGCAGTTGAGGCCCCGTCCACAGACCTGAAACTGCATGCCCGTTGTACGTGGCCCCCCAGCCAGTGGCAGAGGCATCCGTGAAGACCACAGCATGCCTGGACACTTGTTCTAGGGGAACACCTGCCCGTAGAAATGAAGGGTCCGACCACAGGCTGAAGGTTTGGAGGCAGTGCGGGGTGACATGAACCCGGTACGTGCCGCTCTGCCACGCCCATCTCGGGACTCGGCCGTGAAACCAGTGCTGAAGCGGTCTCATATGAAGCAACCCGAGCGGCGTTACTGCGGCTGCGGATGCCATATGCCCCAGGAGCCTCTGAAAAAGTTTCAGTGGGACCGCTGTTCTGCTCTTGATTGTACTCAAGCAGTTCAACACTGATCGCACGCGCCCCTTTGTGAGTCGCGCTGTCTGGTTGACCAAGTCCAACTCCATACCGAGATAAGAGATCCTCTGCACAGGGGAGAGTTTGCTCTTGTCCCAGTTGACCCGAAGGCCCAACAGGCTGAGGTGACGGAGCACCATGTCCCTGTGTTCGCACAACTGATCCCGAGACTGAGCCAGAATCAGCCAGTCGTCGAGATAGTTGAGAATACGAACACCGCGTTCTCGGAGTGGAACAATGGCTGCCTACGCGACGTTCTTGAAGACGCGGGGTGACAGGGACAGCCCGAAGGGCAGGACTTTGTACTGATATGCCCGTCCCTCGAACGCAAACCGCAGGAACGGTCTGTGTCGAGGAAAAATCGAGACATGAAAGTACGCGTCCTTCAGGTCGATCGCTGCAAACCAATGCTGGGGACGGATGCACTCGAAAATGCATTTCTGCGTGAGCATCTTGAACGGGAGCTTGAGAAGGGCCCGATTCAAGGTTCGCAGGTCCAAGATCGGCCGTAACCCACTGCCTTTCTTGGGTACAATGAAGTAGGGGCTGTAGAACCCTTTCCTCATATCGGCTGGAGGAACCGGCTCAATCGCGTCTTGACATCGATCTCTGCCTGCAAGACTCCGCACAGAGGTGAAGTGGATGCCCCTGAACTTGGGAGGGCGCCGGGTGAACTGAATCGCATAGAGAGTCTGATGGTACGGATGAGCCAGCGTGATGGGCTGGGAAGCGCTAACCAGGCTCCCAGACACCGTACAAGCGGGACTAACTGGACCACAGACATACCCGGGGTGGGGTAGCGAGGTTGAACACAGGGACTCGGCATGGGAGGGGAGGGGCAGATTTTCCCGCCAGGAGGTAGCGGTCTTGGGACACAGCTGCATCGCCACAGACCGCTCCACCAGGGGGGATCTCCACGTAACCCTTAGTTGCTCCGCCATCGAGGGTATGAGGGAGGAAGAGGCACCAGAATGGTTTCGGGCAGAAAAAGGTGCCGTCCATGTTCTGGTAACCTCCTCATGCACTTCCGGGAAGAAGGGCACTGGTGCAGGGCGCTGAGAACCAGCACGGGCCGCCCCGAGATTCCAATCTTCCAGCTGCGAAGATCCGGGACACGGTGGAGGGTTCCACTCGAGCCTGACACTTGCCCAGGAAAACATAGCCGTGAGTTCTGGGTCTGACTCGTAAAAAGCTTGCACACCCGAAGGAGGCAGCGCAGCCGAGTCGTCATCCCCAGAGGACATTAGCTCACCCTCCGATGCAGCGACCGACATTTGATCTTTCAGTGGAGCTCCAAAAGAAATGACTGGGACGGCCGGGGACGGCCCAGCGCGCTCTCTTGGAGGCTCCGCGGGAAGCGTTATAGAGGAGTGAGGGGCCCGAGGAGACTGGCTCGGCGGGTTACCTCTCGCTGTGATCCTCAGGTCACCAAAACTATTACTCTCAGTGTCACGCCCACCGAACCAACAAAGCAGTGAAAACAGCTGTTTTTGCTCTCAACTGTTGACACGGAGAGATCGCGACCACCACTGTTCGCATCGTCACACCAACACCACACACAGAGGCTTCCTCGCAGAGACTCGATAAACACCGTGTAGAAATCTTGCAGGAGACAGGAACAGCATTCACCGTCTGGCTCCGAAGCGAAAGACAAAGATGCGAACGCACCAGCTGCTTGTTATATGCTCGCGCCGCGATGCACAGCAGCTGGTGCAATTAAGGAAAAATGGGGTGAGATAATAAAAATTCAATAAGAATACACACTTGTGGCAATGTTTTTTTTCAGTTGGCATTAATACGGGCAAAAGTATCCCAAAAAAAAAAACTAAACAAAACTGAAAAAGACAAAAATGTACATAAGGACACACAAGGGTTACATTTTCAGCTGTTTTAGAATAGCTTAAAATGATTCGTAAATGTTTCCCTTCCTCCTTGTCACTTTCTGTCACCTTTCACATTTCCAAAATGACTTGATTTCCCATCCACATGACCCCTTTCTTGTTAAGTGCCGACAGCAATCAAGGGCTGTTGAATGCCTCGTCTAATGATGAGACCTGTCTTTGCATTTGTTCTTCATTGACTCGCAACAAAAGTAGACCTGATTGCAGGGTATCAAAGGAGCAATTTAGTTAATTAGAAACTGTCCAGATTCATGACGTTTCTTATACGGAATGTCGTAGTTTTCTTTCAGAAATATTTAGAGCAATTTACCAAGCTGACGCTATTTTTCACAGGTAATTTAGCCAGCTAATGAGGCTTGAAGACTTGTGAGTTCTTAATCTATGTCTATTGAAAAGTCAAGTGTGGAGTTTACTTTGCTCAAGTGTTTCTCATTTGTCAGAGCAAAATCATTATTCACAGACTTCATATACAGCATGTCCACATCCATCCGCATTTGTGATTGGAATGCAAGCAAGTGGTGAAAAATGTTCTTGGCAGATTTTATTTAGAAATGTGCAATGAATGATTAGTGCCTTACACCCTGTCGTTGAGGGTCAAGCACCACAGATTTAATCTCATCTTAAGGCCTTCAATGCATGTCTATACGGATGACCCTGGGAGTTCTGACAGTGATTTGTTTTTCACAATCAATGCAGGATGATGATTTATAATGTCCCTTTACCTTACACACTGACGTTTACTTTGTGATACATTTATTGTTATGTTATAAGATTACCAAAATAAATAATGTTACTTTTTTTAAATTAAGATTTTACGAGAATTGAAAAGTGTAAAGTGGAGAATCGGTATTGAAAAACTCTGGCTACATAGTTTTCCTCTGCTAGTAAATGCTGTAACTGGACCGTAATGTTTCTCCACTGACAGCCATTCAGAAGGCTTTGTGGAGGCATTTGAAAGAATGCAGTGGATATTTTTCTCTTTCTGCTGTATTTCGACGTCACGGCTCAGGGTGGTTGTGGGCTGATTGAGGGCTTTGGAGTTTAACATTGTTTTCAGGGATTTTGAATTCAAAATGCACATCTGAAGTTCTGAACCACACAAAGTTTAGCAGTGTAGTGGTGTGTGTATAACCAACAAAAAGCAGTGTGTTGATCATCAGCTGTGTCCACAGATGGCTGCCATGGGGCTAATGTCATTGTGCTGTCCACAGAACATGCATTCATATCAAACGTTCTGTGCCACATCATTTGAATCAACCCTCAGGACAGAGAAGAACTTCGTTTAAGCTCCAGTGTTCTTTTACTCCATAAAGTTCACCGGAAAGTCTTTCCCCAAAGTTCTCGCAAGGTTTACGATGATGAACAAACAAAGATTTTGGTATCGGATAGCAGATATTGTAGATTCATATCACTAAAACATCTGTCATGATACGGTAAACCACCAGTGCACAATTACTTTATTCATATAATCCTATATAACTGTGCAACATACATCTCATGAGAACATGCATTACATTGCAACGGCAGGCCCATCACATTCAAGGTGTGTCATATAAAGCATGAAAAGCTACGTATATAAACATAATAAATAGTCAAATGGAACCTTAAATTAAATTTACACTCATTTTGCTGACACATTTGGCTGATGCTCTCGTCAATCCACACAAACCAATCATCAGGGACTGCATGCAGTTCATCCTTATTCTCCCCTTTTACTCCGTCAGTATTATCTTATCTTCCACCAAGACAAAAAAGGAACCGAAATGGTAAATGCTTCCATCGGAAAGGTTGACAAACGACGGTCAAGGTTATGTTTGAAAATCTCAGCATTTTACTGAAATTATATACTTTGCTTTTTTCTTTTTTAAAAATGTTAAATCCACTTTGCTGTAGGCGTGGCACAAATTCTTTGATATTTGTACAGAAATGACCTGGCTGAATGTATTAAGGTTTCTGCCTGCTGTTAGTTGCTGAGAGAACATCTAACAAACATTTTATAAATGTGGGACATAACATAACGTTGCAGAAATGACTGGCATCAATAAGCTTTTCAACAGAAATAAATTACAACCTCCATGCAATGCATGGCCTATTGGCTACTACAAAGCATCTGTTTGTATCACAGTACTGCATGTCCTACCACGATTTAAAATTTCAACCTACTGTAGCTGCATTTAGTTTATGAGCAAATAATCAAATCAAAAAAATAATACTTACAAACAGATAAGCAAAGGCATTGCTTGAAGTTGTATTCCAAACAAGAATCTTTGTCTGTGCTGAAGATACTGCTTGAAAAGCCATCTCCCCCAGGGATTTTATATGCATTTTTCTTTTCTTTTTTGGGCGATATGATCTTGGAACAAAATCATTTTTATAATACAGACAATTTATATACATTCCTTTAGTTTTAATCTCAGTGAAATGCAAGCGATGTCGCCCCCAGGCCATAGTCCGCATGGGATCTGATTTTGATTCTTTAAATAAAGTTTTACAGTGTTTCCACTGTAGATGAGGTATTATTTCCATCCCTTCTGCTCCATTGAAGCGAGTTCTCTCTCAACAGTGTAGAATCTTAATAAAAGCTTTGCGAAACTCAATGTTGAAAGTGGTGTATATGATGGGATTGACTGCACTGTTCACGTAGCCCAACCACGTAAAGGCAGTGTAGAGTTCAGGAGGGACTTGCCAGTAAGTGTTCACAATGTGTGTGATGAAGAACGGCAGCCAGCAGATGATGAATACACCTGAAAATAAAGAAAGAAGATGTTGAAGAAAATATTTGGGTGGGCAATGTTAAGAAACTGTGCTTTATATATAAACTGTTTCATTCAGGGGTTTTGCAGAGGCATGTTTTTAATGTCATGTAGTATTGTGCAGCTCACTAAAACAAATAGAAGATGAAATGTCATGTCTTACTTAATGATAAATGAAAACAAACAGTGTTGTTAAAGCTGAAGTGTCTAATTTTTGCACCATTATCTTTGTATCACCAAACCAAACAGCAAAACTTAAAACAGAACACTCTGTCTGCTATTGGTTAGGCAATCAGATAGTACCAACCCCAGAGTCACACCATTGGCTGAGACAGTGTTGCTGTTGTCAGGCTGGTCATTTCACTCAGCGGCCATCTTTGAAATGCAAGCTTACGAATACATTTTACATTTGAAATCACCATTGAAAATTTGAAATCTGACAACTTTCTCATTAATTTTGTAATACTACTTAACTACATGTACTTACAATAGAGTTATGGTTAGGGTTTGGTTTAGGGTTAGTTACTTGTAATTATGCATAATTTACTGTTATTACTATAATAAGTACATGTAGTAATGTCACCTAAAATAAAGTTTTACTGCACTTTCTCCCATTCATAATAAGTAATATGAGTGCATCATCTTTCTATATCTAAAGTCTTTGGTGATGATCAAATAAACAGCAATGTTTTCGAAGTGCCACAGATCCAAATTGTTTACACTTTACAAGCAAATCAACCAACAAATGTTTTAAAGGGGACCTATTTTGGAAGATTTATTTTTATATTGTCATTTAACATAATTATGTGTCCGCAGTGGGTATTGTGGTAAATATCCATTCATAAATCGGAAACAGAGTCTGCGTCCAAAAACAAATACTTCTCTACTATATAGTATGCGATAAACAAGTGGCAAAGAGTCCCAGGATGACCTACTAAACTTCTGCCGAGATTCTGAAGTGCACATTTGATGGACACTTTACGATCCCGTGAGGCCACTGAAGAGGATTTATGACTGTAAGTGGAGCGACGCAACTGACCCTGTAGGTCACGTGACAATAACAACATGGCAGATATATTGTGTCCTGATTTCATACATACTACCCATATTCATACTATATGAAGCATATGTTTTTAACGGTCATGAAGTAAATTCAAATTCAAACAGTGCGTGATTTCGGACACAGCGAATGTCTCAAAATGAGCCGTTCAGAAAATTACTCCAATGTCGCCTCACATTGGAACAAGCCCCGCTCATGCACAATGTCACCGTGATAGAGATGATAATCAAAACCAAACAGGTGTTTTGTTAGTTTTTGGCAGATTAGGCACATCGAGGCACGAGCTGTAAAAGCACAGCACTATTCTGGAAAGCGGGTGGGGAGCAGCAGCTCATTTGCATTTACAGATTACAGCATGTTTTTGCTTCCACTCAAAAATGGATATTGACAACATGGAATAATAAATGTATAATAAATGATCAGTGTTGTTTGGAGCTGAAACTTCACAGACACATTCTGGGGACACTTGAGACTTATATCATGTAACAAAGGGCATAATAGGTCCCATTTAAAGTATGTTAACATCAAATAACATCACACACTTACCAAGGACAATAGCTAACATCTGAGTGGCCTTCTTCTCCTTCTGCTGGGAGATTTTACGTTTGTTAAGAGTTTTGACCGATGTCTGTGTTTTGCCAGTGGGGGAGACCTGGATCTCAAATGCTTTGGTCACTTTTGTGATATTGCTGGTGTTGCCATTTCTTTCAGGTTTGACACCAGCTTCAGGCGATGGGGGTGATATGTCAGTCTCTCTCACATTAGAGCTAACCAGCCTGCTGTGTTGTTGACCTGCAGCGGACTGATCCTGCTTCTTCTGTTTCGGAGGGTTTAAGTTTGTGATCTCATCCATTTGGATGTCGTCCCCATTGTTTACCACCTCCTTTATGAAGATCTAACAAAAAAGAGGTGAAAAATAAGTCATTTTGGCTAAATGTATAGCTGGAGTGCACATGATCAAGCCTTGATATAAAAAGAAACGAATCCCCTACAAACCAAAAATGGTTTACTCTATCAAACAGTTCATTTCATAACAACTTGTTTATCGTTTCAGTCAATAAAACTTCATATAAAGTAAACCGTGGGTGCAGCCAGAGATTAACATTTAATATTTGCTGACACATTGTCATTTCTCAAATGTCATCTGTCATCAATACTTCTGGTGGTACAACAAGCAGCAGCAGCTCAAAAATCATGTGAGCGATATTTTGAAAGCAAGAGTAAAATTGGCTGTACCACGTTTTTGTTGTTCACAGGAAAATTCCCGCTGGACTTGACGATCACAGTGCACAGTTTCACATCATCAGGGTGAGTGCATTTCTGAAACACACATGGGAGAAACACCAGACTGTTTTGACAGATTTAGACCAGAAAGGAATTAGTTGTCCAGCCCCAGGTTCGGTTTAAATGTATTTGTAATTATAAAAATCGGAGGAAAATGCAACTGCAAGGTTAGTAATTCCATTCGGTTACAGTGATATGTTTTGTGTGTGCAAATGTCAGCTTATAGATCATGTTTCCAAATCCTTTAACATTTTAAATTACCTGCTCGACATAAGGATGATTGCTAAAGCTTTGCATTCTCTGTCTATATACAAAGCATTCGTTTTGGATGCAGATGTGGCAAATCTAAAGATCATTTTAGATCTAAACCCAAAAGTTCAGTGTTCTGAAAACAAGAAACTTGCTATATAGATGGATACGGATGAGTTTTGCACTTCAAAATGAAAGCATTCCTGAAAAAAAAACAAGATGTTGATCTAAAGCCTGTTTTCACATCAGAATACTTTGGAGGAGTCACAACAAACCACTGATAGGAGAAGCGATGTTTACTTATGCCGTCAGGACACAGCATGAGAACTCCCTAAACACAAATGGCTCTCAATAATGCACTGATGCCCTTGAAGAAGCTTAGGATGGGTAGATAAGCTATCAGTTTCTTTGAATAATGCTATATTGAATTTATTCTGCTGCGGCATGCGCTCCATGGAGAAGCCTGGATGTCACTGCACTGTGTAAAACAATGTAAAGACTAACAATGTATTATAATAACAGTGTTATGAAGCAGTGGTCATTTCCTGCATTGATTTGTAGTATGTCGGGAGAATCAATACAAGCAGAAAACAAGGAAAAGGTCATTCTAGACAAGCTATGATCACAGATGCACAACCTGAAATATATGTACTACTATTCATTACTTTCCAACTGCTAATCACTGATACACTGCTAATGGGAATTACAGTGCTGATGAATTACTATGAGATTCATTTGACACTGCAGTTTTTTAACAATCCCAATTCACTAAACTATACTGGAGTGCTGAGTAAGTCGAAACTTTCACAACTCGTCATCAAGCAGCTGTTCTCACCTTTAAAGTCGAGCTCATATCCATGTCCGTTACTGGGCATGTGCGTTTAGTGTTGACACGTTTCCGTCTCTTTCGCAGTACCACGTAGATCTGCACATATACTAGCAGCGTTATTATGAAAGGAACATAGAAGGATACGATGGAGGAGTACACTACAAAGGCAGGGTTTGCGATAACACACAGAGCATCGTCATGGGTGTCTGTAACAGAAAATACAATGAAAATGAGCTAGTTTAGAAGATTCCAACATTGTTACATTATTTATAAGTCTTTGTCTAGTTTTTCAAACAATCAGTACATTTGTTTCAACACATTTTATATACACACACACACACATATATATATATATATATATATATAATGGTATTGTCTGCCACATGATAGCTAGCACAGATGTCTGGGTCAATGGTTTCATATGGTTTTGAAAAACATTTTATACAACTTTCAAGAAAAGATTCATTTTAATTGCCCTTGATACACTGGTGCTCTGTAGGATTTATCTCTATGCTATAATGTCCAGTTTAATGTTTTTATTTTATTTTTGTTGGTGACACCACAGGACTTTGATTTGGGTACAAAAATTATTCAAATATTAATAATCATTAATAAACATAATACGTGTATCTAACAGAGCAGAGTAAAGCGCCCAACTTATCTTCCAGTGTGATTTGTTTTGTTCATGCCCACGAGTACCTGACCCCCATCCTCCCACTACAAGCAGTCAAGCAGAAGAATGCTGATTATATTACTTCCTCTAATATAACTTTCAAATGAAGCCGTGACCTAACTTATTTTAGCTGCCCTTAACACCAGTGTACATGCAAGATTATGACACTAATACTCTGTAAATTCAGCTCTTTAAGTGCAAGCTGTTACATTGTACCATAATAATATTTCTAAGCAGAAGCCAATTTTTCAAGCTTAAGACAAGGTGATCCACTTGCACAGAGTTTAGCTATCATATTCCTTATGGTTATTAATTCACATGTAGAATATAAATTGCTGCAAAGTGGACAGTTACGCACAGTAGGAAAGAAACTTACAGATATAAAACAGTATATTGGCTTCTAAGGGTTCTTTTTATAATGTCTATTCAATCATTTACTCGTCTTCTACAATAATTCAATGTCTTTATCTTCATTTAAAGACATTTCTCAGCAGATACATACAATTAATTACACTGATTAATTAATCAGATATGATTAATTGGATTACAAAGTTTAATTGTACACTACTGTTCAAAAGTTTGGGGACGGTAATGCTTTTGAAAGAAGTCTCTTATGCTCAACAGGGCTGCATTTATTTGATCAAAAATACAGTATAAACAGTAATGTTGTGAAATATTTTTACAGTTTAAATGTATTTAAATTACAATTTAATTTGAAATGTAATTTATTTCTGTAATGTCAAAGCTTCAGTGTCATTATCATGAATGTTGGAACAGCGTTTTTTGAAATATTATAAAAAAATGTGTTTGATGCATCTTTACAGAATAAAAGTTCATTTCTTTCTTTCTTTCTTTCTTTCTTTCTTTCTTTCTTTCTTTCTTTCTTTCTTTCTTTCTTTCTTTCTTTCTTTTAAAAAAAAAAATCTTACTGATCCCAAACATTTGAATGGTGATAGACTCCCAGTCCAGGTAAAGTGAAATCCCCCCCCCCATATTTACCAGTATTATTGAGTCCAAACAGCAGTGGACATGATATAGCAAAAGACAGAATCCAAACGACAGAAATCATGACTGTGACCCTCCTCTTGGAGCTGTAGCGTGTGTTGTATAACATAGGCATGGCTACAGCTGTGTACCTGTGGGAGATACCAGACAAAAATGGATTCATTATTGTTTTAATATATGACCTGTTTCATATTCTTACATGTCTCTGGACATGATTTTCCTAATATATCTGTAATCATGTGACTATTATTCTTGGGTATTCCCATGACCTCTGTACTCCCTTCTATTCTTTCTTTCTAATATCGGATTACTTACTGTATAAATAGAGACGTTTCGTATAAACCGCTATTGATCTAACAAGTATTCCTTACTATTCTGAGCTCATGTAAGTGACGATGTACAATGAAGTTCTCATTGTCTGTCTATATATAACAATCTCAGCACAAAATGTAGTTTATTTTCAGGTGTGTAAAAGCTGAGGTTGGTCCCTCTGAGCAACCAAATTATGTCTTGGTCAGCATTAGACGACTCTTGTAATGGTAGTGGACCTACCTGTCGATACTGATGGCACATAGATTGAGTATGCTTGCTGTACACATCATCACGTCCAGGGTGACAAAGATGTCACAATGGATTGTGCTGAATCGCCACTCTCCCACCACCTATGAGGACAGACATGCAGCTTATTTTTAAAACAATACATCGGAATGCAAACCTATGCTGTTTACCTGTAAATGTGCAATAGTTAGTTACTTGCTAGAAGCACTTTATATTACTAATACAGTATCTTTAGAGTATAAATATCCATGGTAACACCACAGTCACTTGCTATACTCGTCTGAAAGTCTGGGAGTCGATTTGCAACAGCTTCAACCACTATAATAATGTTTAAAGCAATAAAATATTGGCATTTTCGCTGGTTTAATCGACAAAACTGGCAGAGAGAAGCAATATAGCACAGGTCAGCCTCATCCACAGTTTGCATCTCCTGAGTTGGCTGGCAGAGCTTTCTGAGCCTCCTCTGATTAATGCGTGTCCTCAGGCAAGCCGAGGGACTCAGAAAGCTCTTGATGGTCTTAGGGCCCTGCCTCTGGAGTTTGCATCGCTGTCATTGATTAAAGAATTATTTGACACCTCTAATGAAAGCGGCTGTGAGTTGCCGGAATCAGTTCATCACCATATCTCTAAACTCAGATGAAATGAGCCTCACCGCTATCATTCTCAGGCATCGCTAGTGATCAAAACATGTCCTTGCACTAATAGAGGGAGAGAGAGGGGTCTGCTCAATAAGCATGGAGTCGGGAGAGAAATGTACACTTTTTAAATTGCTGTGCACAGATAGAGTTGTGTGGCATTCAGACATGAACGGAGAATGCATTTAAATTCCAATTTAATTTCGTAATTTAAGGAGAAAAGATTTAATAGAGTATAATGTATTCAGCATCCAGCATCCCCGTCACGCTAAAGGACATGTGGTTTGGAGAATGGATGGATGGATATGCTATATTAACAAACTGATGTCAGATGTATGTTTCTTTTAGAATTAATTTAGAATGTCTGTCAGTCAGGGACGTGCACAGACATTTTGAGGGGCAGGGGCTCAAGTGAAAAAAAGGGCACTTTTCATAATTACGTTTTTTTTTTTTTTTTTTTTTTTAACAAAAAAGTATATATATATATATATATTAACACAACTCTTACTTTTTAAAAAATGTATTAAAATAGTTTGTTAATAAAATAGCAATTGTTTCATTTTCAAAAGATGTCTACAAAATAATCAGTTCACACAGAAACCATGGTCTCCTTAGTATTCATATTTATAGAGCAGCAAAGGAAACCATGCCACAATGTGCATGTTTTCTATGCTACTAGTTTCAATCAAGTATATATTTGATACACCTGATGGTGACATGGACTTAGTTTCACATTTGAGAGAGGACTGTATCATCATCATCAAATAAAACCTTCAAAATCCACATTTAGATGGAGTTTGTTTTAAACCTAGGCTACTATCCTCCATCTGTTTGCATCTGTAGATTTCTTCTAAATTCACAAATTTAGATTTCAACATTTCAGGGGGAAAGACTCTTAAGGCTACGTCCCAATACCTCCCCTTACCCTAGATTTCTGCCCTAACCCTTGTTTTTGCGCGTTCTCGTGTAGGGGTGTCCCAATACTCCAAAGAGCAAGGGGGAGTGCTATTCTCCCCTTAAAATCAACCCTTAAAACATAGTGCGGTCCGATGCAGGCTTAAAACGAAGTGGAAGATGAAATTACCCAGGATACCTTGCGAACTCAGCGAGCCGGTGTGGTGAATAATCCGGTTACTCGGTGTGAATAGTCCGGGCGTAGGACCCCATTAGTATGCCAGTAGTATGCCTGATCTGAATCTGTTCTCGCGATAACTTGTAGCTAACGTGAGCTGTTTTAGTGTTATTATGTGGTAGCTTTATGTAGAACGCTAACTCCCGTTGCTATATGCAAGGTAAGATGAAATTAAATTGCATATTGTATATGTAAATTGTGTATATTCTATATCTAATATTTAAAATCTCAAGTTGCGTCAATAGCAGAGGAGAAAGACCGCGAAATTTAAAAATTACTGTTATTGTGTATGAAATGTAGTTTTAAGAGTTTTTCAGTGGACAATGTAGTTGTTTCAATCTCAAATATGTTGTTTGTTTATACAGATAGCGCCTATTTAAAATTATGATGTGACGTTTTCGAAGATGTGAGATCCAAGGGATCACCGGACGCTCAGCGCTCAAGTACCCCGCCTGGACCAGCCCACCTCGGCTAGTCCAACCATTCCTTCTTTCCTAGGAGACTCTTGTAGATAAAAACATATTGCAGCATCAAGCAATATCTAATGAATCATATCACAGTTACATTGTCCAAGTTTTGATTTTAGATTGGGAGAAAAATCTGATTAATCATCTGTCCACAGTGGACCTCGTGCATCAATGCCATGGCTATATTTCAGCTATAGTTCATACTTATACTGTGAATATTGTTTATGAAAATACTTAATCTGCAGTGACATTTATGTAAATAAATGTATTTGTATTATTAGAATGTAACGTGGGAACAGAGAACATTACTCACTGCTCCTAACTAAAGAACTTTTGTAGCTTTAAAAAGGATTCATATATCTAATTTATATATTATGCAGTGCAGAGTGTTGTACGCTTTATTCAATTTCTTTTTATTTCCCATATTTATCAAGACATCAGTAGCCTTATTAGTATCAGTGATACTGGCCTTCATGTACATATTAAAAAAATATGTAATTAAACAAGTAGTTAAAATATAATGTCCCTATTTAGTTATTTTATGTTTTTCTACATTAATCTGGAGATTAAATGTGAAGTGATTAAATGATAAAATATAGTAAAAATGTATAGAGACTTGGGTAACACTTAATAATAATGTTCAGTTGTAGGCCATTAATAAGTGGTTAGTTAATGATGAACTAATCATTTACAAAACATGCATAAATGATTAACAAGTGATATACTAACATTTTATGTATGTTTTTTGTAATTTCCATTGCACGTGATTAGTAAATGATTACCTAATTATTTATGAAACATGACTATGCGTTCATAAATGATTAATAAGTGATATACTAACATTTTATGTATGTTTTGTACATTTCGTTACAAGTCATTTACAATTGATTAGTTAATGATTAACTAATAATTTACAAAATATGACTATGCGTCTCATAAATGTTCATTATGTTAAATTTTTTGTATGTTTTGCTCACACGTATAATTTAAAATACATTAAATACATTAATGACTCGTTATACCGTAGTACAAACGTCTTCTATAATAAAGTGATTTTGTATGATTTGTAACCAGGCACCAAAGCGATTACCTATAAAACGTGCTTTGAACCAATCGGATTGCTTGTGTCCTACACCCGGACTATTTACACCGAGTGACCGGATTATTCACCACACCGGTCAAATTTTTCAACTAAGATGGTGGACACCGCTGGAAAGGAACAATTTTATTTTAAGTATATTTTCGCAAATACGCATGTTAAAATGTCGAAATATGTTGGAATATGTTAGTTTGATGCACATCCAATGGACTGTTGAGTTTTCAACACTAATGTTAGAAAATATTTCACGAAGCTATCTGACGATGTTCATATGATATCTGCCGAGTGCTTCAAAAGCAAATCAAATATACATCTGATCTGGGTAAGTTAGTTAATCTAATTTTATTTTCGATTTTGGCTTCCAAGGATTATAAAAAGAAGATATGTGAGGTAAAATTATTCAAAACTAGCCGCGTTCGTCTAGCCTAGCGCATCATCTTCCCTTCACAGCGCGCTGTCATTTCTCTCTAAACCCAAACCTAACGTCAGAATCAGCACTGAGCACAATCGGTGATTGTTGTAAAGTGCAGTGTCTGCGGTTTCTAAATTGCGGGACGTTGGTGGTAAAAACAGCTACTAAAAGCACAATGATCCGCGCAAGAGACGTTGCCCCGGTTCCCATGGCGGCGCGCGCGCGTTCGGAAACGGATTGCAACTAACGTTAGACAAGCAAACTTTGGGTTTTGTGTGCGCTTCTAAACGATCAGATATAAACAAATATATGGCAAAATTACCGGAAATGCGTCTTCTATATTCCACATGTCTTCTCTGTTGATTCATCAGATGTAGATAAACGAAAACAGCCCACACAACAGGCAACACAACAACTGGAACCGGCAATTTTATGAATGAAAATAGTAGTAGAAGTAGTAGACACTTTGACGCTGCGCGTGACGTATTGAGGATTGCCGCGCTAATTTGCATATAGTGGTGTCCCATTTCATAGGGAAAGATCTTCAACTCCACTTCCCTCGTTGAGGGGACTTTACTTTCGAGGGCACTCAAAACCAAGTGGAAGTTTTAAGGGGGGAGAAATGGGACAGGGCCTTGATGTATGTAAGTCATTAACTTTAATAATAAGAATTTTTTAGGCCACAAAAACGTCCGGATTTTCCTTACAAGATCATAAATTACATTTAGCCTCGTCTTAAATTGATATGCTCATTTATTCATTATCGCGATATAATTTTTCTCTATAAAACGATATCAAGTTCGAGTTAATATCGTCAATACTCGATATCAATACCAATATCGAGTTCGATAAATGTTCGATGATGTTTATGTGCCAAAAGCGGAACGAAACTCATTTGAACCGCACGCGCCTCACGTAGCCTACTTTTTATCCGCTCGGCTCAAAGTCCAAACGGCAGCGCAGCGCGAGCTCACTAGAGCAGACGCGTTTACTCTGATCGGCGCTTCAGAACTCCTGACCTGATATTTAGATACACTATTCAATAAATATATTTGTTTGACAGGGAAGCTGTGCGCAAACAGGAATATATATTATTTTTCAAAAATAAAAAAAAAGCCCCCCTGAAAAAAGGGCACTTTCTCTCCAGGAATAAAAAGGGCAGGTGCTCAAGCCCCTTTTGATGTCTATGTGTGCACGTGCCTGCTGTCAGTTACATCGTTGTGCTGGTAGGTGGTGGCAAATAACTGTTTTTATGAGTGAGAGTCATTGAATCAATTCAAACAATTCATTCTTTACACACCACTGATTCATTCAGGAATGAAACACTATTGAGATGCACAACAGTTGATTCTGCTTTTTTAAAATAATTTAGTTTTTTGGAGGAAAAATAGACAAAGTAACTTGCAATATTGTAATTAATTCTAAGTTATTCATATACACGTGATTTCAAACCTCTGTAGTCTGATTGTGTTGAATTGCAAATCAGTAAATTCATCCTGCCATTACTATTCAAATTCGTTTGAATTACTGTCCAATTCAAATTCATATTTAAGAGTTAGTTCACCCCAAAAATGAAAATTCTGTCATTAATTACTCACCCTCATGTCATTCCAAACCCTTAAGACCTTCGTTCATCTTCAGAACACAAATGAAGATCTTTTTGATGAGATCCGTGCCATGTGACTACAATGGTTCAATCTTAATATTATGAAGCAACGAGAATACTTTTTGTGCGCAAAAAACAAACAAAAATAATGACTTTATTGAAGAATTTCATCTTCAGTCTCCTACGCTGTTTACGTTGCAGCGCTTCCGGGTTCTACGTCAGAACGCCGACGCCAATTGGTCGACGCTGTTCACGTGAGCACCACAACACATGCGTGTGATGCTGATGCAGGAGCTGGCCAATACAAAGCCAGCGTTCTGACATAGAACCCGGAAGCACTGCACTGTAGTTACAACGTAAACAGCGTGAACCATGGACTATTTTAACTATGTCTTTACTACCTTTCTGGGCCTTGAAAGTGGTCGTTGCGTTGCTGTCTATGGAGGAGTCAGAAACCTCTCAGATCAAAAATATCTTCATTTGTATTCCGAAGATGAACGAAAGTCTTACGGGTTTGGAACGACATGAGGGTGAGTTATTAATGACAGAATTTTCATTTTTGGGTGAACTATCCCTTTAATGATCGGAAAGGGGGACATTTCTTAAACTGCATTTGGCCCAACCCTAAAGCACTTGATTCGATTGGTCATTTCTTGCTAGCATATAGTTGGGTTCTTTTTCATCACACATTTTCATCATGTTCTGAAGATATTTTAAAGTTGTTTACGAAAAACGTCTTTTGGAATGATGATCTCATCTGTCCTAATAATAATATTGAGGACTTTCATTTAGCAACGCACCAACAGCAATTTTTATTTAGCCAATAATCAGAAATTTCATTTCATCCATCTCACAGTAGCGCTCCTTAATGTTCTGTTCACGCGTACAAATGATTCAAGCAAAATAAATTATGACCTTCATTTATTAACTGAGAATGCAGTTACTCAGTGCTGCCCTTTAAGAGAAAAACAACACATCACAAGATATCAAAAGGCTAATTTGATACAGGGAGTTATAATAAGGCTGTAAATTGAATGTGCTACATATATAGTGTCACATTGTTTCAACCCATTGATCAGAGCTCAATTTAAAATCACACAATCAACCTGCTTGCATTTATCTCAGAAGAACATGAGTCAAGATTATGATCTTTATGCACATTTCAACCTATGGATTTTGCTTGCAATCTGATAGCTTTGCTAATATGTTTGGCTCAATGACATACCACAAGGGAGGCTTCTCTTGGTTGAAAATAACTACTAACCCGTGGCTAGGATCAGACATCCTAGAACTAGACATGTGCTAGTGGCTACTGCAAATTGATTGGCTTAAATGAGGTTTAAGACAATGTTGCCTGCAGCTCTTTTTAGTTAATTCTTGCCCAGATTGACTCTAATGAGTTATGAAATTACAATCTAATCAGTATCTGTACTTGCATTATTACAAACTACATATGGTTCATGGTTAAAATCATTTTAGCATTCCCAACAAGGAAGGATCCGATCACGCTGAAACCTACCTCGAGGTAAACCACCCATGGCATCACAAGTGTGGCGACTAGCAGATCAGCCACAGCCAGGCTGACTATCAGGTAGTTGGTGGTGGTCTGCAGGGCTTTCTCCCTAGAGACGGCTATACACACCAGCACGTTGCCGAAGACAATGACGAAAATGAGCAGCGTGAGAAGCATGGCGTAATAATTGTACTGATGCCGCCCCCCTTCTTCCGTGGCATTGAAGTCCCGGGATCCATTTTCAAAGAAGCTCTCATTATAGGCATACTCCGTGAAGACTTCCATCAGATGGTTGAAGCCAAGCTGAGACTCTAAAACCGAAGGCAAGAAACTTTTTTATAAAAGAAATCCAGCATTTTACTTTTTTAAGTCACGTGTTTTGTATCACGGGGAGTGTCGTATCACATCAACTAGATTACACAGCATGTCTCACTAAGTTTTGGCACGAAACATCAATTTCTTATTGGAACACCTGAGCAGAAGCTTTCATTAGAAAGCTCAGGGATGTGGCCTTGCGCTGCGCGGTACACTGTGTAAAGTCTATGCTTTATTTATGGGTGATAGTTCGCTTAGCTGCCCTGAAAAGCCTGTGTTTGAACTCTAGATGTGACTTGACTAACTAGGACAGAAGTCTCCTCCCTCCCTACTGTTTCCCTTGAACGATGTCCAAGAATACATACAGAAACATAAGCAGTATCAGCTCAATAATAAGTGGACAAGGGGAGGTGAGAGCGTTTCATTAAATATCACAACAAAGGGGCTTGTAGTTTATACTGTCTCTGCAAATTGAGAAGAAAAAGGAAACCGCACAATGAGCAGTTGTTATTTGTTCCATATTTAGCAGATTTTGCAGAATTCGTGACAGCTCCGAAATTTATTATAGCCCATAACGAGGAAATGGATGAAATTAATTTGCATTTCATGACATTTTAACCTATTGTGGCCATCTCAATGATATCAAACTCAGAAGAAAAGTATACTTGTCTTCTTAAGTTATTTTGTATGTTATTAATTATGGCTTTGAGATGGAAGGGACAAGGTGCAGCTTAAATAGACTTTTTTTAAAATTCAAAAGTCAATGGGGTCCAAAACAACAACTGGATGCCATTGACTTTCACTGTATGGACAAACAAGATTTTTCTCCTCGAAATATCTTTTTATCTGTGTTCCACAGATAAAAGAAAGTCACACAGGTTTCGAGCGTTGTGATATATTTATCATATCAAAGTTTTATAAGTGCCTGGCTACATATTAAAATGTGGCAAAATCCATTTTGAACACATCACACCTGTCAATTTGCACTGCCTTGGCCCATGTTACATAAATCAGAAAGATATGTAAGAGAAAAGACAGAGGCAAGAACGCTTGAACCTTGCCGCACCCTGAATGTAACATCACTCAGGGTCTCAGCAGCGCCTCGTCGGCAATTGTGCAATGTAAATGAGCAAATGCTATAGGCAGAACTGCAATAGCAATATGTTGTCACTTAAACAGTTCAATATAGTAAAAAAAGCATTTTGCTGGGGGAAAAAACCCATTCAAAAACACCACAATCACAGACGTAACCCACTCTTGTGTGAAGGGACCACCCCTTATTGGTTTTTCCACATAATTGCCTCTTTAGCTCTCTCAGTGTCAGTTTTGATCATGAATGCTGTCTCAGAATTGACACTCCCTGCAGAAGTAGAAATTATGTTTTTTCATGCTTTCTCATATCAGCCATTGGACTTTTTATATTAATGTGCGATTGTGTTTGTTTGTTGGGTTTTGAATGGGATTTTGAATCAACAATTCAGGATGTGTATTTATCTTTAGATAAGTGTTCATTAACAACTGAATCAAACCTAAAAGAAAGCCTCACACACTTCCCTGCAGCTGTTTTGTTTATGTTCATTAGAATAAAATTGTTTACAGGAGGAACTTCTACATATGTATTTAGATTAGAATGTAACAAATTTTAAACATTTGATACTGTGTAGGCTACTTATTGTGAACATCTATCTATCTATCTATCTATCTATCTATCTATCTATCTATCTATCTATCTATCTATCTATCTATCTATCTATCTATCTATCTATCTATCTATCTATCCCTGAGTGATGTATTGCATATGGTGAGAAGTTTAGTATAATATGCAGATACTGCATATGCAGTATATATACAGTATATATATATATATATTGCAAATAGTGAGACGTTTGATTACTTTAACATAAATGCATTCATAGTGCAGTTTGTAGTGTTTACAGTAGTACTATAATTGTCCCAAACATAAAAACTACTAAAATTAAACGATTCTAAGTTAAGGTTAATTGAAAACAACAGTGACAATGTCTATATTAAACATGGGTTAGATCCCTATTTTTTCTCCCTTACCCTCTTATTCCCTCTCTCTCTCTATCGCTCTCTGTAACAAACACCCGCGCACACAGTGTCAGTGTGCCCGCAGACCCCGCACACACAGAGCATTACAGCAATTACAGCAATTTAGTTTCTTTGAAAAAGGTTGAATTAATTGGACAAGATAACAACCCGATTTTACACACAGTCGTCAGCAACAAAGGCTTGTTTTTCCACACGCAGTGGAGTAAAGTTTGTCTGAAAGTGTCAGCATCAGCGAATATCTGTTAATTAGCAGCTCAACTGTTTCCTAATTATTCATTTGCAGAAATAACTAGTTCACGAACAAAAGAAGATGCCGTTCTGTACCTCAAACCGCAGCTTTCATCCAAAGAGCGGAAGTATTCCGTTTCTTATATTTTAAATCCACTTTTCTCCATCGGATACACTTGTCCATCCGAGCGACTGTAACTGTATTTCTCTTCTGTCTCAATTACAGCTCCACGGGTGGATACAACCACTGTAAACCGGCGAGCACGAACACTAGGCTACTTCCACGGGGTGATTTCATTTTGGTGATTAAAAGAAGGTGAACATGATGTAAATATGCCTTTCTTGATTTTGTGGAGGTTTTAAACTGCACTTAGCAGGAGCAACCCATATCCGTTTGAGAGTCCAAGCGGAGTGTGAGCAATGCGCGTGTGAGCGCAGCATCCGAGCGCGCGCTTTACGCACGCGGTAACCTTCAGCATCCACTGAGGGACAATCTCAGTCCTTACAACAGAGATTGAGAAGGTTGGAAAACGAGGCGGGGCTGTTACATAAACATCAGTGAGAATAAAATACAAGCGTTGCATTCTTTAATAACAATCTTTTTCTTTTCAAAACCCTGTAACCGATCTTATAGTAGGCCTACTGATTCCTTTCTTTCTTTCAAGAAATTAATAACGATTCATCTTTAAACTGCAAACTATCTATTAGTGAATAGTTACTTATATGTTTTATATTTTGGGTTTAATTAAAAATTAGTTTGGAATTCAAATGATAAAATAAAGGAGGTGATTTGGATTTATTTAGCTTTTTCTTTTTCATCCCCAACCTTGGGCAAAAAAATTGATCAAGTCAAAAATGGCAAAAATATTTAGTGGTCTTTTAATGGTCTTAACCATTTTAATCACAAATCACTGGTCAGGAAATTAGCAAGAATTGTACAAATACTGCATATAAAGTAAATTAGCACGGAATAGCCTTCCCCTTTGTTTTCTTTAAATGTTTAAGCCGTGTAAACTTGCAGACAGCTTTTTACAGGACGAAGAGTCAGCGTTGTTCCACTCAACGTTAATGGTTTCAAACAAGTCATAATTTGTGGAAATTGTGTCCCAGTTCGTTTGAGTTTAATGTGAGACCAAATATTCATTATAGGGTTCAAATCTAGACTCTGAGCAGGCCAAAACATGAGCCTGATGGACATGAGTCACTTCTTGGTTGTCTTTGCAGTTTGGGCAGGGGAATTGTCTTGTTGAAAAATAGCATCTGATCATTCCTCTTTAGATAACAACTTTTCCTTTATGGGAAGCAAGCCATTCTGCAATGTTCTCCTGTACTCCAAAGCATTAAAAGACTTTTCACAGTGAAGTAGCTCACCGATACTAGCAGCTAAAAAGGCTCCCCACACAATGACAGCTCTTCTTTCATGCTTTGCTGTGATAAAGATGCATCTATTATTATATTTCTCAGCAGATTTTTTTAAGACACCGCTCTGGAGCATCACCATGCAACTCGTGTTTCATTGCAATTCATCACTCCACACAACTTTCCATTTTCTGCCAAAACCATTATTCTGTCTTTGATGTTTTTCTGAGACAGCAATGGCTTTTTAAGAAATGCATTTGCTTAAATGTTCCTGTGGTTAAGACAATTTAAAAGCTTAGTGTTTAGCCAATTCGGGCGTGGCCTCGGTAGTGTATGTCAATAAATGTGTTTTCTTCTCTTAAAGTGCCCCTGTGGTGAAGTTTTTAATGTGCTTTTAGACAAACCATGTGCAAATTCATAAGTCAACACCATTGCTGAGTATTTTCTCCTTAAAACTTGTGAAGAAAAAAAGACAGTCTCAAAAACCTTGTAACCAATCACGACAACATGCTGGCTTTAGCATATCATTAACAGCGAACTAGCAGGGGAGTCTTGAGAGATGCCAGGTTATCCCGGTATATTTTTTTGCTGATATGAAAAATGGGGTAGATTTAGCAATATAAGAGGTGTATGATGTATTTGACGATGTTATGTTATGATGAACTATATGCCTTTCTCCACTGACGTTCTGAGTTGTTCAAAGTGTTTCTGATGACTGGCAAAGGCAGCTGTCTGACTCTGAGATGGCAAACGGGAACATGGTTTGTGTAACATTAGCAACATATTATTAGCTGTTTTATAACATAGTCAAGCAAACGGCTAATCATATTAATTACCGTTGTGTGTCAAGTCAAGTCAAGGCGTTTATTGTCATGCACAGTGAGGAAAAACAAGTTTCCCTGTACAATGAAATTCTTTCTTTGCTGTCCACAGTGAATGGCAAGTGCAAAGTACTTAAAAAGAAAACACACACACACAAACAAAACAAAAAAATGCTGTAGAATAAGAATTAGACCGTATAAAAAAAAAATATATAGGACATCTATGTAAGCAAATGTGCAATATTGACTATGTGCAATACAATAATACATTAAAGTGCAATTTGAGAGCAGCTCCATGATAATAGCAACAACATAATAGTCCAACGTTGTAAAGAGCGATACCATTGTGCACTGTTTACTACAGTAAGTTGACCGAGTGACTCTGTGAGCTGGCGTGAGTGAATGAAGGTGGGGCTAATTAGCATATTCATGGATACGCATTAAATGAAGCTATTTTAAGGCATGAAGATTTTTTTTGACAGAAAAAAAAACGTTTAAATATGTAATTTTGGTGATCAAAGATGAGTTTTGAGGGATACAATTATTGACTACAGGGGGACTTTAAAAGTCACCACGTAATCAATAGTCAATTCTTATTTTTTTTTTTGGAATATTGCAGTGTTCATAATAAATAGATATCTTTTTTTAATGAATGTGCCCTCGTAGTATTAATTCAAAAACATTAACTTCCCCTTTCAACAACATCACTTCTCTGATGACGTGCATCGGTGCAAGGACTGGGCAGTAAAACCTTCACTCCAGCAACCTGTCAATCATTAAATCGACCACAATTCAACAATCATGCCGCCTTTAAATTGCCTTTATCTGTTATTGCTCAATCCCCTGATTACAAACAGTTGTGACACATTTTCTAAAACTATTATATGGTTCAGCCCGATATAAGCAAGCATCACTGGTACCCACAGAAGATTATTTGTGCTCCTTGTCTTGGGGCAAGGATTGAATTCAATGAATTCATAGACTTTAGACATGGTGCATGTGGAGTTCACAGAAAAATGGATTTGGTGCCATGTGTGCTTGGGCTGTGAGACTATAAGCCAATGGAATGAAACCGTGTTGAGGTTATAAGTGCAAATACTGTGTGCAAGACTGATACAGCTTTAACACCGTATAGGGACTTCAAATATATACATTAATGAATGGAGATGGATTTATAATCACGTTTTCAGATGTATAGCATGTCATATGTGTACTACATTGCCAGAGCCTCACTAGTCAGCCATAAGATAAGCTATTACTTTCCTTAGAGAAGGATGATAAGATGTGGGTGAATCAAAAAACCCTGTTGCCTTAGAAACTGGGGACAACAATTGCCCTTCGGTTTTTTGATATTTCTCATAAAGTAGCACCCTTGAAATGAAAAATCTGTCATCATTTACTCACCCTTATGTCTTTCCAAACCTGACTTCCTTTCTTCTGTTGACGTGACATTCGTTGTACAGTGGTTGTCAAACATATCTCCTTTTGGATTCTGCAGAAGAAAGTAAATAGCATGTAGGTGAGCAAATGATGACAGAATGGCCTTTTTGGGTGAACTATCCCTTTAAGCATAATCCAAAAATAAAACATACTGTAGTTGAACACAGTTCAAGCAGCACTGTGGTTACAGTATAACAAAGCCCTATTTATTTATACCAAAGCCCTATATCTTAAACTATTCAGAAGTGGCTTACAGCTCTCAAGTTAAAAAGTTCAGTGCTCAAAGCCTGGTGGGAAATGCAGGAGGCAGCATTTATTTGGCTCTGAAAGTCAAATGTGAAAGTGACTACTGGTCTCTGCTGTCAGCACGCACTTTCCTTCCAACAAGGTGATTCAGACCAAAAATCTGTCAGTTATTCAAGTAAACAGAGTAGAAAGAAAACCCTTCTTTTGATTGACTTACTTGGAACTCTATGCATAAATTCATGTTGTAAATGAAAAGACGTTTGTCATAAGGGCAAAGTGTCAGAAGTTTGTGTATGAATTAAAGGAATAGTTCACTGAAAAATGGTATTCCTGGTATTTACCCTACTTTCCTGTGTGTTTTAAGCTAGTCCCTTGTCCCTATCCACTTTCATTTTATGCAATAGAGTAGCTCAGACATTTTTCAAAATATTTTATTTTGTGTTTCAAAGAAGAAAGTAAGTAATACAGGTTTGAAACAACATAAGGGCAGCTATCTCTTTAAATCCTCATAATAACTCTAATTGGATGACAGTTCATATACACAGAAGTGATTAGATAATACAATTATAATATTGGATCATGATTGATTGATTTATTGTGGTAGTTTGATGTTCATATACATACACGAAAAGTCACCAGGATGTGCAGAGCTCCATCACGAATGTTAAGGAGTAATCTTTAAAGGTCAGCTTGTTTAAAAACTTTCCAATGGATTGTTTTGGGGACTCAGATCTGAAAATGCCATTCCACAATGATGATAAATCACCATGCTTAACACAAAGTCGCAAAACTTTCAGAGACTAATGTCCTTTAAAGTATGTGAGGGGCGGCCTTACATTACCCAAACGACTTGCTTCCATCCCTCAGGAGATTACTGTACAGTCTGATCAGGAACATTTTCTTCACTTTAAGGGCAGTATCATAACAATAAAAACTTCTCTATTTAAATAACTGACCTTGGGTTCCAGAAAATAGTGGGAGAGAGAGCCACATTATAACCCAACTCAGACTGTGTGGCCTCTATTAACTCCTGCTGATGAGCAGACTTATATAGAATTCAAAACAAATCACGCCGACTTTCATAGCAGCTGCTATGAAATGTGATTTTAAACTCTATGCAGAATTATTGATGGGCAGCGAGCGCTATGAAAAAACTCCTTTAATAAGCAGACTTGTTGATTCTAAAATTCTCAGAGAACAGATGGTACAAAAAGTGTTTTTCTGACTCGGTGGTTGTAAAGACTTGACAATGGCACATGCAGACCTTGAGAGCCGTCTGTTTGGCAGGTTGATGCAATGAGCTTTTGGCCAAGACATCTTTGTAAAAGGTGCACAGAAGCATGATTGCTTTTCCCACCTGTCTTTGAGCAAACTCTCAGTCTAGTTTATCTATGAATGGAACTTCTAAGCACCCTTTTCCAGTTCAGTGCCTAACATTACACCAGAAAAAGCACTTTAAATAAATCGAATTCATTACATATTCATATATTTAATACATTTAATTGTCTATTTTTATTAATTTGTTTTGAAACTTTTCCAAAGCATCAATAAAGAGCTCCATACATTTTCAAAATTTATTTTTTTCCTCCCTTTTTCTCCATTAATAATTATTATTAATGATAACAATAATAAAAATTA